TAGCCGCTTGAGCCACAGGCGCCGAGCCGACATGGTTTTTCCTTAAAAACAATGCCTCTACTCCAAATAAATCACGGTCAAAATAAATGAAGAGTTCAAGACGACATCAGTCCCCATTCCTTTTAAGTCCTGGTGTTGTGTGAGTGACAAGCAGCATCCAGTTATGATGACAAGTGATAGATCCAAAGTGTCTGCCAAATTTGTTAACGTTTTTCTATTTCTAAACCATCCTTAAAGAAAGTCATATATGGGGTCACAGCATCCTCACAGTAGTCCAGGAGAGCAACCATGCCATCTGGATTCATGTTTTCACCAATAAAGAAGTGGTGGGGGGTTTTAAATTTTTTGTTGTTGTTGGGGATTCATTGAGGATACAAGATACCTGGTTATACTGATGCATTTGTTAGGTAAAGTCCCTCCTATAATTGTGTCTTGCCTCCAAAAGGTGTGTCACACACCGAGACCCCACTCCCTCCCTCCTTCCCTCTCTGCTCTTCCCTTTTCCCACCCCCCTCCTTCTCTCTCTCTGCTCCTTTCCCCAAATGCCCTCCCTCCTTCCCTCTCTCTGCTCTTCCTTTCCCCCAACCCCCTCCCTCCTCCTTTCTCTCTCTGCTCTCCCATTCCCCCACCCCCCACCATGTACAAAGTCATTAATTGTCCTCATATCAAAACTGAGTACATAGGATTCCTGCTCCTCCATTCTTGTGATGCTTAACTAAGAATAATGTGTTCCACTTCCATCTAGATTAATACAAAGGATATAAAGTCTCCATCTTTTTAAATGGCTGAATAGTATTCTATGGTATACATATACCACAGCTTGTTAATCTATTCCTGGTTTGGTGGACATTTAGGCTGTTTCTACATTTTGGTGATTTTAAATTGAGTTGTAATGAACAATCTAGTGCAAGTGTCTTTATGGTAGAAGGATTTTTTTTCCTTCTGGGTAGATGCCTAGTAATGGGATTGCGGGATCAAACGGGAGGTCAAGCTTGAGCTCTTTGAGGGTTCTCCATATTTCCTTCCAAAAAGGGTGTAATAGTTTGTAGGCTCACCAGCAAAAGTGTTCCTTTCTCTCCACATCCATGTCAGCATGTGCAGTTTTGAGATTTTGTGATGTTGGCCATTCTCACTGGGGTTAGATGATATTTCAGGGTGGTTTTGATTTGCATTTCTCTAATAATTAGGGACGAGTATTTTTTCTGTTTGCTAGCCATTCATGTGTCTTGTTTAGAGAAGGTTCTATTCATGCCTCTTCCTCATTGATATATGGGATTGTTGGCTTTTGTCATGTGAATTTAAGTTCTCTATAAATCCTAGTTATCAAGCTTTTGTCTGATTCAAAATATGTAAATATCCTTTCCCATTGTGTAGGTTGTCTATTTGCTTTGGTTGTTGTCTCCTTAGCTGTACAGAAGCTTTTCAGTTTCATTAAGTTCCATTTGTTTATTTTTGTTGTTGTTGCAGTTGCTACTGAAGTCATCTTCATAAAGTCTTTCCCCAGGCCGATATCTTCCAGTGTTTTTCCTATGCTTTCTTTGAGGATTTTTATTGTTTCATGCCTTAAATTTAAGTCTCTTATCCTTCTCAAATCAATTTTAGTGAGTGGAGAAAGGTGCAGGTCCAGTTTTAGTCTTTTACATGTGGATATCCAGTTCTCCCAGCACCATTTATTGAATAGGTTATTCATTCCCCCAGTGTATGTTCTTGTTTCGTTTATCAAAGATTAGGTGGCTATAAGATGTCAGTTTCATTTCCTGGTGTTCTATTCAATTCCAAATGTCTATATCTCTATTTTTGTGCCAGTACCATGCTGTCTTGACCACTATGGCCTTGTAGTACAGCCCAAAATCTGGCTGATGCCCCTGGCTTTGTTTTTATTGCTAAGTACTGCCTTAGCTATATGGGGCTTTTTCTGGTTCTATACAAAACGAAGGAATATTTTTTCCAAGTCTTGACAGTACGATGTTGGTATTTTAATAGGGATGGCACTGAATCAGTAGATTGCTTTGGGAAGTATACACATTTTAACAATGTTGATTCTTCCCAGCCATGAGCATGGTATCTTCTTACATTTGTTAATATCCTCTGCTATTTCCTTTCTTAGGGTTTTGTAATTTTCTTTATAGAGGTCCTTCACCTCTTTCATTAGGTATATTCCTAGTATTTCATTTTCTTTGGGGCAATGGTGAAGGGAGTTGTTTCCTTAATTAGCCTCTCATCTTGGCTATTATTGGCATATACAAAGGCAACTAACTTGTGGACACTGATTTTATATCCAGAGACATTACTGTATTTTTTTTTGACATTACTGTATTTTTTGATGACTTCCAGGTGGTTGAGTCTTTGGGGCTCTCTAGGTATAAGATTATATCATCAGCAAAGAGGAAGAGTTTGACCTCCTCTGCTCCCATATGGATGCTCTTTATTTCCTTCTCTTGCCTGATTGTATGGGGTAGAAATTCCAGCACTATGTTGAATAATAATGGTGACAGAGGAGAACCTTGTCTGGTTCTAGTTCTAAGTGGGAAAGCTTTCAGTTTTACTCCATTCAGTAAAATATTAGTTGTGGGTTTGTCATAGATGGCTTTGATCTGTTTAAGAAATGTGCCACCTATGCCTATACTCTTCAGTGTTCTAATTAGAAAAGGATGCTGGATTTTATTGAATGCTTTTTCTGCATCTATTGAGAGGATCATATGGTCTGTTTTTGCTTCTATTGATATGGTGAATAATGTTTATAGACTTATGTTAAACCGGCCTTGTATCCCTGGGATGAAACCTACTTGGTCAGGATATATGACTTTTTTGATGATAAACTGTAATCTACTGGCTAGGATTTTGTTGAGAATTTTTGCATCTATATTCATTAGTGAAATTGGTCTGAAGATCTCCTTTTTACCTGGTTTTGGTATCAGGGTGATGTCTGCTTTGTAGAATGTGTTGGGGAAGACTCCTTCCTATTCAATTTTTTAGAATAATTTCTGCAGTATGGGAATAAGCTTTTCTTTGAAGGTTTGATAGAATTCTGGTGTGAAGCCATCCAAACCAGGGCATTCTTTTTGTTGGGAGATTTTTTATTGTTTCTTTGATCTCAGTGCTTGAAATTGGTCTGTTCAGGAGATCTATTTCTTCCTGGCTAAGTCTAGGGAGAGGGTGTGATTCAAATATTGATCCATTTCCTTCACATTGTCAAATTTCTGAGCACAGAGTTTCTGGCAGTATTCAGAGATAATCTCTTCTATCTCTGTGGCATCTGTTGTTTTTCCCCTTTATCATTTCTGATTCAGGTTACTAGAGATTTTACTTTTCTATTCCCAGTTAGTCTGGCGAATGGTTTATCTATTTTTTCAGAAAGTCAACTCCTTGTTTCATTAATTTTCTGATTCTTTTGTTTTCAATTTCATTAATCTCTGATTTAATTTTAGATATTTCTTTTCTTCTGCTAGGTTCAGGCTTAGATTGCTCTTCTTTTTCCAATTCCATAAGATGGCTTGTGAGTTTGTTGATGCACTCTCTTTCTGTTTTTCAAATGCAGGTATCTAAAGCCATAAATTTTCTTCTCAGGACTGCTTTTGCTGTATCCCACAGGTTTTGGTACTTTGTATCTTCATTATTGTTATGCTTAAGGAAGTTAATGATTTCCTCTTTTATTTCTTCCTGCACCCAACTGTCATTCAGCATAAAGTTGTTTAATTTCCATGACTTTGTGTGGGATTGAACATTTGTGTTGGAGTTGAATTCCACCTTTAATGCCTTGTGGTCTGAGAAGATACAAGGTAAAATTTCCATTCTTTTGATTCTGTTGAGGTTTTTGTCCTAGGATATGACCAATTTTGGAGAATGTTCCATGGGCCAATGAGAAGAATGTATATTCTTTATTTGTGATGGAATGTTCTATATACATCTACCAAGCACAGTTGTTTTAGGGTCTCGTTTAATTCCCTTACATCTTTGTTTAATTTCTGTTTAGAGGATCTGTCCAGCTCTATAAGAGGAATGTTAAAGTCCCCTGTTATTATGGTGTTATGGGATATCATTATTGTTCAGACTAGTTAAGGTCTATTTCAAGAATCTAGGAGCACTTAAGTTGAAGGCATAAATATTGAGAATTG